AAATTACTAAAAGTTTTGTATAGATGGAGCGGCACGCATCAAAAGACCATAAAAAGAATGCAATCTTTATCTAGATATTAATTCGAGGAAGATTAGGGATTTTACTTTACTGCTAGATCTGCAAAAGATGGTACTACTACTAGCTGCACTGTGGATTGCAAAAGATGCAACAAACAATAATAATTAATCCATTGCGCCAAAGTAGGGGTTGCAATAATCGACGAGTGTACTCGCTCGCAGTGGATACTAACATTGGTCCTGCCAGGAATGATTGCTAGCTTTACGCACAAGCGCCCGGCCAATTCGATTAATCGATCGATTGTCCCGGCAACCTGCAGGGCCTGATGCTCTGAGAACCTATTTCGTAAATAGACACCTGATAAAAACTTACTTCCTCCATCCCAAAATATAAGTATTTTTAGCTATGAATCTGGACAACTGTGTATCCAGATTCATAGCTAAAAGTTATTACATTTTAGGATGGGGTAGTATGTTATAGAGAAATCAAGGTTTTAAATCTACGGTTATAACACTACAGCTATTTGTTTTCACTACGATTTAGCCGCTATTAGCTACTATAGTCTCATTTAGTTTTTTTTATTAACGGTTTGTAAGGGTCTACCACTAAAATAGTTGGCTATTTAAAATACAGAGAGAAACCCTCAAATAAATAATTGAGATCGGCGTCATAGCCGTTGATGTTTGAGGTATAGCATGTCAGCAACGGAGACGTGGCAGCCCAGGGTGCCAACGCCGACTCGAGAGACTGCTTTGTTGCATAAGTATTTGCTAACGGCCAGTTTATAAAATAAGCTTTTAAAAGGGCTAAAATATAATAAAAACGAGGGATGATGCTCTTGAGCGATTTTATTATTTACTGGCTGTTGCCAGTAGGCCATGTCGATCATATTCAAGCATGGCTCTCGATCGATATCTGGAACTCTCAAGATCATTAATGGCCGGTCCTCTCGAGTTTTTTTTTAAGATAATGGGAAGATTTCATTAAGAAATAAAACTACACCTGAATCATCTCAAATCTATATATGAGTTCTTTCCTAATCCATACATATACTATCAACAATATTACATATACGTGTAAAGTTTCATTTTCGAATTCATTATACATAAAGAGAAAAAAAGATAAAATTCTTATAGATTTATAATCTTAAACCTGTTATATTTTTATGCCTAAAATATAGTGAATTTGAGGTTAAGATTTTAAACGTAGGTATAATACTATTAAAAATATATGCACAAATTTTTCTAAATTTTTCGATGATATTTGTTAATTCGTGTGTACAGAGTGTGCACGCAAAACTTATGTTCCCTTCCAAAGAAGTCCTAAATTATCGTAGGCTCCCAAGACACTGAATGGTGTGTTTTTAAAAAATATCAATATATAAGTCTCTTTTAAAAATTAAGTAAATTTATTTTAAATTTATAATAGCTAGTGACACTTAATTAATCATACGCTAACCTAGTATATGCTCATGTAAGCCAAGCGGCTATTATGCTGAAAAATAAAAGTGGACCTTTCAAGCCGACATGAGTCTTTCTCAATGCAGGTAGAATCTTCTATAAAGGGATTTGTTCCACAAGCATGGAAGCCGTGAAAAGAGGCAGACTTGGGAAGGATTTTTTTTCCTTCAGAAAAGAGGGCGTTGCAGATGGAATCTGTGAAATTCTAACTCCCTAAGAGCATCACCATTGTTTCCTACCTACTTTAAGATCAATAAGGATAGGCCCTACGTTAGTGGGTATTAGTTGTTGTAGCCACAATGATGAAATAACAAAAGTGGGTAGTAAGCTGACCCCACAACCATTAGCCATGAGAGAGGAATGAGAGAAATCATTTGTTTATTGCTTATGGCTAGGTAGTAAGCATATTACCTAGTATTTGTTACTTACTACTTCTACAATGTATACAACCTAGTAGTAGTAGTATTTTATTCCTTACTACCCACTTTATATGTATATTGTGGATGCCCTAACTCTTTCACACGGGCTGTAGAAAAAGAAATTAAGGCAGGTTCAGCAAAAATGGTTTTTGATGAACAACAAAATCTGAGCTATATGTGCAGTACTCTCTTCTCCAGCTGGTGCTGAAATTGATGCGATATTAATTAACCACACGCGACTTAAAAATTCAGTTAGTCAGTCTCTGCTATCTATCTGTTCCAAATTAAAGAGACTCGCTCATATGCATCTTCCTGTCACCGTGCATTGGTGGACCAATCCATTGTACACATATCCATCCATAAATCCATTGATTAAGACAACAGCTTGGAAATTTTCAGCGGCCAGAAGCCCATTATAATATTGTAGCTATAGCTTGTACTGTTGCTTTGTTGGTGTTGGAATAGATGGAACATGCTAGGAGTCTGTACAACCTAACTATGCAAAAGAAAAAAAAATCCATGAGAAACTACAGAAGAATCCCCTAATAAATTTATTTACAGAAAGGTGAGCCATGCATATCTCCAAGATTTATTCTATTAATGAAATTCTTTCATTATCTGAGAAAATATTCTCAAGATCATTACACAGCTACAGTTACCTAGATAGGAGTAATGATTTTGCACTATTGATAATTAAGATCAGAAGGGAGCTGAGAGCCTATCGAAAGAACCAATATTGGTGTAAATAAATTATCAAGATAATTTTTTTACCCCCGATATGTCTAGAGGGGTAAGAGTAATTTGTATCAGGAAAGAAGGAAGTGAAGAAGATGTGTGAGTTTTTCCTTATATCAGGAGAAGGGCGGAAGGGAGCGAGAGTGGCAGACAGTTGAATGGAGCTACTTTCTGTCTTAAAATATAGTTTCATTTATAATTCAGGGAGTACTTAATAAGTTGTGGCTTTTTGGCATTATTATAATAATACTTAATTTAAAAAATTAATGATTAAATATAGATGTACTGAAAACTGTCGATTTCAGAGGCACGGAGGTAGTAGCAGCGCAATGTGTGACAAATTCAGACAAAGACATGGTTACAGCATGTATTGGACTGATGCAGTCTGCAGGACAACGTGATACTGCCACCACCTTCCTTTGACTAATATATAATTAATTAACCGTATAATCTGAGGTTCTAAGCAGTGCACCTGCGCATATAGCTTACCAAATTGTTCGTTCATTTCTTCGTGTGATATCATAGATATAGCTCTCCACATGTTTCAACGACGTAGAATCATAACGCAGCATCTTCAACCTCTGACCGGCAAGCGCAAGATCTCAGTAGGACAGCAAAAAAAGTTTGACCGAAAATCTGTTTTTCTTGTCAGTGTTGTAGCTTTGCAACGCAAACTAATAATGACACTGCTGAAATATATGTGGTCACAGTACAAAAGCATCTTCTTCAGTTTAGATTGGTCCAAAGTTTAGAATTTGGTTGAAATTAGAAACGATGTGACTGAAAAGTTATGTATGTTTATGAAAGGTTTGATGCGATGAAAAGTTAAAAGTTTGGAAAAAAAAACTTTGGAACTAAACAAAGTAAACTTCCAAGAGAAATATTCAAAGTAGTCTAGCTAGTAGCTAGTACTACCCCTGGAACACCGAAGGAATTGATTTGCGGTTAACGGAATGATGCAGAGACGAACTGATTGCGATTGATAATCTGTCTATGGGAGACTAGTTTGTTGCATTGTCCAGACCATCTTTCCTGATCAAAATGGTACATGTAAGAACTTGCGTTGCGCTTGCTTGGCTCCATCAGTCTTAAAGTGTGTCAGGTTGCAAAGGAAGTTGGTCATTACGCCCCCATCGTTTCCTCCATATGGCATCACTCGCTGTCAAAATTTAGATTTTCAAACTCAGATTTTAAGTTTTTCCATCGAAATTTATTTTTCAACATTTGTACTTAAGTATCTGAGAACGTATATATAAAAGTTTTAGTTATAAATTATTATTATTATGCTAATACGTCGAATGGCGTATTATTCGTATTTGGCCAAACGATAGGGACCGGACAAACTATTAGTCAGTCTACAGCAGATAGCATTGGTTTAAATTGCACGTGCACGTCTTCTACTCGGGTTAAGACTAACCTTTGACGATTCATAATTCCATCATTTCACTTATTATTATGCTTCTTTATATGATTTATAGTAATAAAAAATACTTTATAGATAAAACTTTTATATACATATTCTTAACGATTCAAAAGTAAATATTGTAAAATAAACGACGATTAAAAGTTAACTTCAAAACTAAAATTTAAAAAATAAGTGAAACATGTAGCTATTAGAGAGGATTCAACATTTGGAAATGCTGTTCTGCATGGTTGAGACTAGAGAGTAGCAGTGGTAGCTGAGTAGTTTTTTTTTTTTTTGTTCCATTGGCTCCGGATGGTTCGATTTGATCCCTGTTTTGTTTTGTTCTCTTGTGCGAGCAGGATGGCCTCAATTTCAGACTTGACCCTGCATGCTCGATGCCGTTGTTTCATTTGATTTGTCTCTGTGTTTTTCTTTTCTAGTATTTGATTGCAACTACAAACTAGTAGCTCCCATTAATGTTGGAGACATGTAGAATTATTTTTTTTATCAGAGGAAACGGCAGCTATCAACGATTTATTCTTGTTTTTACTATCCATGCTAACGACGCAAGATAACCGTAATACTATGTTTCTCATCTGGAACAGTTGTCTAGTGTTGACACTTCCCTATGACTCCGAGAACGAACGGTCTTCTCGAATTTATATCCCATCTTAAAAAAATGACTCTGACAAGCATTTTCCGGATTTGTTTTCCCTCTCAAAAATTGAACATGGCATGTTCCATCATTGGCTGAGAAAAATAAGGTTAAAGCATTCAAAGTAGACATCACAAAGAGGCTCCAGGTCAATAAACCAAGTTATCCAACTTAATTCAGAGCATTTGTGATGTTCCTGTTATAAGATGGGTTAGGGGGGGGTTGCAATCAACTCTTAAGCTAACATGATACTATGAATCAGAAGGGTAGAAAAGAATGTACGATGAATCAGCTTTTAGTCAGTTCCTTGCTTTAAAGAGGACATGAGTTAGATTGGGAGATGGCAGTCCAGAATTACGGCTCAGATGGTACACCAGACAGCGATTTACCACCACCAGTGTAACAGCTGCAACAACTGGGTGGGCTTCCAAGTCCTAGCAATCCAGGGAGCAAACTACACTTGCAAGAGCAAAAGATGGCATGTGCTTCATTTGGCAAGAAGTAAAACAGACTACAAAAGTAAGGAGACGCCAAATAGTTGTAGCACTGGCCGAGGAGACTAGGATGGGCACAAGAGGATACAGAAGACACCGTGCCAAATCAAATACGTTCCTAAAAACACATTTTCATTCATGAGAATCTGAATAAACATTTGTCTCGTGTCACTGGTGCCAATCAGTTCATGAATGAAAGGGGATATAACTTCGAGGCAGCTGCTCAGGTGTCCACTGGTTTGAAACATGAGATTGTTGAGACAAATTATTCCACCTCTTCCAAGAAATCCTTGATCTCTGCAGGGCTCAGAACCCTGTATTTTTCAGGAAAATATTAACAGTCAGCAAACCATCTGAGGGCAACGATGCAACATGTTCTATCATCTCAAATAGTTTGGACAGAATAGACAGCTATACCAGAGACTAGCGTGATAACAAAATACTACACCTTAGTTAAAAAAAAAACATCAAATGGAAAGGACGAAAGAAATCTAGGATTATTCTCCAGAAAAGATTTAACCTATTATGAGCCTCTACTCAGATGGGGGTAAATGTGCAGTTTTTTAAGATAAAGACGCCTATGATGCAAAACAGATGGCTATTTTCTAGAAATCCACAATTTAGAAAAGCTAAAAGATTTAGATCTTTGGCAGAGATAACAGAATATGAAATCTGATAAATGGTAGCAACAAGTTGATTAAGTCTGTATCATACTTGAATTCACGGTCAGATCGGATTATCCCAATTTCAATGTTGTTGGCGGAGATTTGTCCTTCATATCTGCAAGTTTGTAATCCATCAAGTTGTTTTTAAAAAGGAAAGAAGTGGTAAACAAATCAACACACAATAATAGTGAGGTACCCTTCTTTCAGAGTTAAAATAGCAGTATGAATGGCATCGTCAAGCTCCATATCTTCTGTGTATCTGCAATGAAACAATAAATGAATATGAAATTAATGCATTCATGCCTTCTTTTTTTTTGGGGGGGGGGGGGCATGAGCCTGTATAAACTTGACACTTAAATTAAGAAAAGGAGATATGTAGCATAGAATTAAGCACCATGTTTATGATCAAATGGAAGAAAAATGATACCACATGTAACAGTATCTAGTATCAATTGTAAGTTTTGTCAATCTGCTTACCTTTTCTCAAGAAATGTCTTTGCATTTGACACATTTTTCCCCATAGCTGATGCTTTCCAGGAGAAGTATGACCCTGATGGATCAACCTAATAAAACAATGACAATGTCAACTGTCTGCAATATTAATAACTACAAAGTCGTAAATGCAATGGTCTGAAGCAAGAAAAAAAGAAAGAAAGATTGTTCGCATTTGACACTTTGTATTTACACAAAACCTTCTCTGTTGTATATAATTATTTGTCAATACCTGGTACAATTGGGGACCATTGTCATCATACCCAGCAATCAACAAAGATACACCAAATGGTCTTACACCACTGCAAAAAAGCCATAATGAAATTTATTATATACAAATCTACAAGTAATAAAATAGATATTCTGGCTTTTGTACTTCACCGACCATGGTTTTCATTTGACCACGTGGACCACTGGGGTCTTATATTCTTACTAGTTTGTGAAAGAATATGCATTACATTGATAAGAAACAAGCATTGTGTTAACTTTCTAGAACATGCTGTTTGTGTATAAAAAATGACAGCTTAATTCTTCTGAATAGGTAAGGCAGAGAATGTTCATGGTTTATCAATCTGCTTGTACAAATTTTACATACCCAGATTGTGTAAACTCCTGCATGACAGCAGCAGTTTCTCGGACTAGCTGTGTAACAGGTATAGTTTCCTGCATTTATATATAGACAATACAGTTAGAAAGCAGAAACACCGATTCGGAATCACTTTATTTTACTGACAATGTAAATCCCTTCTGAAAGACTATTCCTACGTCTACGACATATTTTTTTAGGATAGCACTGTAAAACTGCAAAATAGACCATCAAATACCTTGTACAGACGATAATACTGTTGTGCTTGCTTTCGACTTTTCCTCACTAAAACACGGAAGTCTGGCCCCATGCCACTGGAAGAAAAAAAAAACAAGGTAAGCACATGAATATATGCAACAAAGTAGTGAGAGTCGACCATCCTAGTCATTAATCTAACCAAAGGCCAGTGTCTAACATGATTGAGCCTCAGCAACAAGAAGTTGGCACTTGTAATAAGCATTTCAAGAGAAGAATAAGCCCGAGTTCTAACGTTCAAATCACTAGAATAAGAACCAATGTAATTCCTGTTTTTTGTTCTTATTGGATGAAAATGAAGCATTCACAGGTTGTAATTCGAAAATATTAACAGTCAACTAAATTACCAAATCAAACTTGCAAACTATTAACACTAGCAAAATTAGTTAAAAGAATCAATGCTTTATAAGATGAGGCAGAAGGTATGATGTAGGCATGTTTTTTTCCCTAGTATATATAGTATGTACACGATAATTTTCTCAAAAGACATGAAATGTCTCATGTGCTCATGCCTTTCTAGTTGTTTCTATACCATCTTGTTAGTGCAAAGGGGCAGTGAATACATATAAGATCAAGAAATTATGAAAATAATTTTTTTAGAGGGATTAAGATAGCAGTACAATATTATGTAGCGTAATATAAAGTGTAAGATAATGAATAAGGTTGTACATAGCAAGACAGCAGTATATGAACAATGAAACACAGTTAAAATAAGTACCTGTAGACAACACCAATATTTGGAGTCAACGACTGAATCTTTTGCACCTTTATGTATGAATATGAGTATTCATTAGTGCCTCCAGAATATGAACAGATAAGGGAGCTTAAATTGTGAGTAATGTCACACTTACAGATGTTTCATCCACTAAAATAGAAGGCAACTTCTTCTCGGTGGCAATAACTACTCCATTAGCAGCTGTTACAACACCAAATATTTTGCAAAATTATTAAGCTTGCATTGGAGGAACCAAGCAATTTTATGGACCTAGCCTGTGTAATGGAGGAATCTAATAAATATGCACCTACAACACACATTGCAAATTATTCGGACAACTAAAAGTATTAGAAGTTAGTGTCTAGGAAATATTTGCCAAACTATAGTTTCATTCAACTCAGACAATAGTACACCTTCAGTTGTTAAATTGGTGCTGAGCAGAACCAAGCATAGTAGTTGTTTTCCAGACCAGGTACAGTTAGATTATTTTGAAAAACAAATGAACACTGGAAACCATGCAATTTGTGCATACAAAGAGGCACTTGTGTGTAGGTGCGTGCATGTGGCTACAGTGCTACTTATAAAACACTGAACAACTCATTGATAGGAACTCAACTTATCATTTTCCAGATTTCATTCATGCCTGTGCAGATATATTTGCAAGGTGTTAATCATCCTAGACAGCTCAAGCCCAACCTATAGTATTCATATTTGCACATGTTGTCTTTGAAAAACTATGTAAAAAAAAAATCAAGCTCAGGTAGCATCATAGCCAGAAACAAACAACAAATCGGTCATGCATAGTTCCAGAAATGTGTTCCTCCTGTTTTAGGTGGATTTGTTTAGCAGGTCATCTAAGCAAGTAAAGGACACAATCTTCAGACCAAGTATCAACTTCTTTAGTACTTTAGATAATCATATTATAGATAGAATTTCTACTTTTGCAATCTACAAACTCTGACAATCTCCATTTACTTCACAGAAATAATAAACAACCAACTTCGCCAAACGTTTCAACTTCATTGGTTCAAATTTTCCACAAGTGCCCACATTGCCCAATACGGCATAGGCACCGAAAAAAAATGTATATCACCAGTTCACCACAGCTAGCTGCCAATAGCAGAGTCGACAAGCATCCAGGGGCTCCAAAACCCCCAGCCTAACCTACCCACCCTCTGCGACGAACCAGCGCACACGCTCCCACAATCCACACGAGGCCAAGACCTAAACCCTAAATCCCACGACCGCAATCGTACCACTGTACCAACAAAAAAAAAAACTCATCCGCATAATCCCTAATCGGAGATTAAAGGGGAGGGAGTGGCACGCACCTTTGATCCCGAGGGAGGTCTGGCCGGACCCGACCGCCGTCAGCGCGTGCTCGATCTGCACCAGCTTCCCCGACGGGCTGCAGCAGCGGAACGGAAGCCACACGAGCGCGTCAGAGACCAATATGCTCCCGATCTCCGCCGGAAAAGAGAGAGAGAGGGTAGCGCACCTGAAGGTGGTGAGGGAGAAGGAGTACTGGCTGTCGCCCATCGCCGGTGGCGGCTCGCTCGCCGGCCTCTGCTAACTACGATTGCTTCCGCCGCCCGCGAGAGAGAATCAGAGAGAATTTCTCCCGTTCGATTTTCGATTTGTTGTCGCCGCCGACTCGCGTGTCGTTCGTTGTTGCTTGTGAGGGGATTATAGAGGAGAAATAGGGAAGAGGGGGAGTCGGTCTGCCATGTGGGGCCATGGCTACGCGACTCACGTGGGCCGTCCGATTCGTTCCGGGAGGGTCGCGCGCCGTCCGATGTGACTCCTACTCCCAGTCCTTTTTGGGTATCCTCTCTTCCTTTTCCTAATCGCAGTCGCCGTCGAGTTTCGTAGCTTGTCACGGATTCAAAATGCTACTACCTCCGTTTTGGTGGTGACAATGTTTTGGTAAGGGGCAGTGACACATTAGTGTATCTTTGAGAATAAATCCCCTATAGGTAATTCGAGATGACATTACAAAAGATGATGAAATCTCATACTTACTCTAAAATGATGAATTGTTTACGATTTCATGTACTCTAGAGTGGTCACTTTCTAATCCCAGGAGGATCTCGTCTAGATGAAGTGGGGAAAGCACAACACAACGATCAAAGCCACGACCTCGAATCAAACCGTGCAGTATAAATAATCAAGAGCTGCATGCTTGGTTCGGAGCTCAAACATTTTTGGAACCTGATTTAGTTCAAACTTGGAACACCATTCTTACAGCTACCACCAGTTTCTGCAGTGTTATCAGACAGCAGTTACAGTAGTCTACCTCCTCATGCTGCAGTGTTAAAAAAAAAAAAACTCTAACGCTCCTCGTAACCATATTACAAAACAATCGAGTATACAAAAATATCACAACATCAATGTTTCATCTGCCCTCTTGCACTCGCATAGCTATGTTAAACAGTTAAGGGAAGAAACCACAACAAGAAACTCATCTCTTTTGTACATGCTAATGCCCCCTGAATAGCCGTCGTGTGTTTCGGCCAAATGTGTGAAACCATATAACAGTACATGTGTATACGGTATACCACACAATTGGCCGGAAATAAAAGGAGCATAGTTTGGCCAAGAAGCTCCAAAAATATCTTTAACCTTCGCATATCATGCTCCATTCCACGCACACCATCCCAGGAGCCATGTTATGAACCCCTCCATGTGATGTTGCGTGCTTCAATATTTGGTATTCCAGATCAAGAATTGTGGTGGATCAAGCTAGCGAACATGAAGCCTTTGTTAGCCTCTAGTCCAATCAGATAACAGCCATGTTAGCTCACTCTTCCATATTGTTCTTTGCCACATCATTTTCTTCCTCCATCTTGTCCTTTGCCTCAGTATTTCCTTCCTCCATCTTATTCTTTGCCTCAGTATTTCCTTCCTCCATCTTATTCTTTGGATCATCATCTCCGTCGACGGTCTTCTCCTCCATAGCCATGTCGTTTGCCTCAGGATTTTTACCATCCATCTTGTTTTCTTCCTGCATTGTATCAATAGTGTCTTCCTCCATCTTATTTCTCATCACTGCATCACCATTTTCTTCAGCCATGACATCGTTTGCCTTATGCATACCATTGCCAGCATTGCCATTTTCAGTTGCATCAGCATTGTTTTCTGGTACTGCTGAAGGTGGTACATTTGCATGAGGTGCATAATATTGCATGTATTGCATCTGTTGCAAATGAAGTGGTTGGGGTTGTCAGATTCAAAGACATCAAACATAATTAACATAATTAAGTTTTGCAAGAGACTTGGTACTGGAACAGTGCTGTATGTACCTGACGAAGATGTTCTAATCTGAAATTCACTAGATGACCAATATCTTCAATACCAGCAACATAATGAATATTTCCAGTTTCCTCTAAAGGTCGCTCTGTAAATGGTGTGCACTCTTCAAGATTCAAGCCAAGCTTATCAGGCCTCTGGAGGAGAAGCTGGAATGTTGGCTGCAATTCGTAGCACTGTTCAAAAAGTGAACGACGGCAGAACACATACAGGCCCAGACGAGCACGGGACATTGCCACAATAAGTCTTCTGACATCACGAAGATGCCCCACAAAACGGGTGCGGACAAGAGATAATAAAATGAAATCATTTTGTTGACCCTGGAACTTGTCCACTGTGGTAACCTACATGATGCATAGAAAAGGGTACATGTCAGCACAAAGCAGAAAGAATGATAAAATACTAGCTTAAAAAACATAGCTCAAGCAATAAATACCTTGCTAGGTGGTTCGATATTCCATGGCTTGCATCTTCTGTTAATAACATCGCGAATAAGAAGCTTCTGACCATTGTAAGTGGTCAATATCGAAATCTTATTGGCAGGGTATCCAATCAGGCGCATGTAGATGTAGACACTAACTATAAACTCAGCCTCCCCTTCATTCTGGTAGAACCAAGGAGAAGGGGCAGACTCACCTCTGCCACGGAAATCAGGAACATCAACCAACTGATAGTCATAAGAGAAGCCAGAATTAGCTTTGTGGAAGATAGCCTCCTCACGGACGTAAGGTAGATCTCCAAGTTCTCTGTATCTCCAGTTATATAGTTCGGCGATGCTAGGTCTGGCACGCCCCTGAGCATTGAGCTCAATGTAAGGGACACCAAGACGAACAAATCTTGTAAAGAGACTTTGGTCCATGTGGCTGTACTTCTGAAAAGCCATGTTCTTCACGACAGGGGGTAACTGATGGTGATCACCAATTAAAATGCAACGTTTCAGACGAGCATAGCCATCTTCCTGCCGTTGCAGCAGCATCGGTATGAAAGTCTCTATCTCTAATATCTGTGCACTTTCTTCCATCAGCAAATTATCGTATTTGAACCCTAACTGAAGAAAGTCTCTCCTCTTCAATGCCGCATGAGTACAAGTCATGGCAACAATCTTGGCTTGTTTGGTCATTAGATAATTTGCCCTCTCTGCTGTTGACTTAAGTAGCTCAAAAGCCCTACATTCTTCCAGCTCTTGAAATATTGTCAAAAGATGTTTGAAACAACCTTTGGCTGCATGCATATCTTTCTCAAAGGACTCACCAGTGAAGGTAGGTTGTGGAGTATCTGAGAAGAACTCTGAGAAAGGGAAGCGGTCTTTAACAAATGAGGGCTTGTCTTGGTTTTGCGCACAGGCAGCTAAAAATTGTTCCCAGCGAGCATAAACATGTAATAACCAAAAGTATGCAGCCGTTTCACATGTGTAGCTCACATCTTCAGGAAGATGAAGGGAACTTGCCAATTTTGCAACTTCACCTAGCAGCTCTAATCGCCGAACCAGCATAGCATTGACACGACCTTGACGGCTAAAATCGAGATCAGTTGCCAACTCTTGTTCACCCTGACCAAGACGAAGAAGGTACCTAGCAGGCACATCTCTCTGGAAGAAACAAGTAAAATCAGCAAGTTTAAAAAGAACATGTAGCAAGCCAACTATGTAGAGAGCATCTAGGTGATTAGGATATATTTCAATATGAGATGTGCATGGCATTGCATGAAAATATGTAACTCCATTGGGACATATGTAGCACAACTTTGCATGAAAATATGGCATAAAGAATCATTTAAGAATCATTTCTGCTGGAAGTCCTCAAAACCCAATAGATACCCATTTTCATTCAACTTAAAGAACACTAGAAATGATAAGCAGTAAAATTGGTATGTTGCGACTGAAAGGAACAGGAGCAAAAATGTTCAGGTGGTTTTCATGAATAAGTGACATTAGGATAGCTGGCATAGCATGGGATCAAATATGCAATATTTCTCTCTCATAAAGAATAGATTAATAAGGAGTAAAACAGGAGTAATTGGTGCAGTTACAGTACCTGCATTATCTTCTCAAACAAATCATTCAAAGCTTGATTGGAATGAGTTATAATTAGAGTTCTTTGGGAAGGACAGTTGTGATATAAAACATTCAATATCTGCACAGCTGTATCTGTTTTTCCCGTACCAGGAGGACCAACAACCATTGTCAACCCAGGTTGAATACCAGATATTATAGCACCAATCTACAAGTAAAAGAGATTGTTACCAACAGAGCTAAAGTTAAAGGACAAGTCATATGGTTGTGTATCTCAAGCAAATTCAAATAAGCAAGTAAAATAATAAAGCAAGTACAAAAATCTCAGCACCTAACACAAATGAATTGACACATAAGCATTATCATAGTCTAGAAAATCTATTCATCTGTGTAATATTCAAACAAAGACATATTTTCTCTATGTTACAATAATAGGCTCATAGGAAATACTTTAAAGTTTTCTGGCAGGTTTTGTTGAAAAGATATGCACCAATTGAGTGATGGTTAGCTGGTAGCCTGAAAGTACCTGAGTAGGTGTAAACCTCACTGAGTTCTGTTTAGGTTTATCTTGAGGATACGGCCCTGGATCAGCAGGAATATAAGTCTCAACCATTATTTTTTCTTTCTGGGGCCCATCATCATCAACCATATTGTTCTTAGCCGACAAAACAGAGTTTACATTGCCAGGTAGAGCATGACTACTTTCCCTCATTTTCTTGGACAACTTAATCTTAAAAGGAGGGCTCGGATTCAGGTTTTCTGTTCCATCTGAATTGATAAATGTGACCTACAAATGAGCTAAAAGTGTTAGAATCTTTAGGGTTAAAATTAAAAAAGTACTTCCACTTTGAAAAAAAAAAACAGTACAATCAAGTTTTAAAAGATATTTACCTGGTAATCTGGAAAGCTTTGTACAACATGGTCCGCATCAAGAAAAGTGTCCTTAAAATCTATATTTTCCAGAAGATCAGGCATATTTATCCACTGTGCGGCAGAAGGGTTCCCATAACCCAAGAATATGTTATGCAACCATTCAGGAACTACACATGTTTCATTCATTAGATCACGTATAGATTCCAATATCGCTTTGAAATTATTCTCCTTGGGTTTCCTTCTCATTAGAATGTTAAATGTCCCATACACATTCTCTGCACCCTTCTCTGCTACCTCAGTAACATCAATATGATACTGAGCTGTATCCAAAGCAATTTTAACAGTACGAATCTCACCCTTGGGAGGTTTCCATTCCTCTCTCTTTATCCTCCCTGTAAAATCATTCATAAGAGATCCTTCCTCATCACGAATTTCAATAACCTCACATCCACGTACACATTGTAATCCAAGCCTTTCTGGCACAGTTGATTTT